GTCCCTAGGTAGGGCAAAAGCCAGGTAACTGCTGAGTGCTTGCCAAGTTGCCAGGCATATTAGCTAGAACACCGTGCTGAGCTCCTGAGGCTGGAGAGCTTTGGGACCAGGGCTGCTTGCATCCCACCAGCTTGGAGCGCTCTCACCTCTATAGTTGTGCCTTATGATAAAACTCAGCTTGTGTGTCAAGACTGACATGGTAGATAGACTTTTTGAACTCACTTTGGTAGAGTGACTTCCAAAAGGCAGAAGTTGCTTCTTGGAAGATCAGCCTGCTGGTGGGAGTAGCAACTGCTGGTGGATTATCACTGTGCTAGAGAGCACAAGGTAACAACTAAAGTAAAGTCTGAGTATCTGTAAGTGCCAGACCTGGTCCAACAGCCTCATAAGTCAAAAATACTCAGGCTAGCAGCTCTTTGTGTGGTCACCTTGACCTCTCCCTGCTTCACATCCTGCCAGATGCCCTGCCAGACTTGGACTGTTTTCACCTGCCTGTACAAATTTTCCCCAGCTGGTAGATTCAAGATGAACCTAGGGATGTCTAGTAGCAAATTGAAGCCAGAAGACCTGTTTTCATTTTATTCTGTTGTTGAATCATCTCCCCCCACATTGTTCATCCTCCCTCTGCCTATCCCTCTCCTCGTAGCCCAAATTCTCAAGGTCGGTAGTGCTGCCCTGGTCTCCCCGCAGGCGTGGTGGCAGCCAGTGAACTCTGCAGCTGTTGCCTTCATCATTTTATGGGCATGCTTATTCCCTCCTGCATCTCTTTTGCTTTTTGTTATGCAACTGTATTTTGTGATTTTCTTTGCTACTGAGCTGTGCCGCACCATGGCCTGAGGGGGTAGCTTGAGAAGACTGCTGGGAATGTTGCGTGACTTCAGTTCCCACCTGAGGATGGGGACGGGAGTCTGGGGAGAAGAGGAGCCGTCACGGTCCGGGCTTTTGAGACTGGGGGCAAGGGGGAAAAAAAGGCAATTAGCTAAGCCCAGGAGCCTGTATCTGAGGTGAGCAGGGAGCCTGAAGCAGATAGATTAGAGCAACATTATTCATGAAAACTCACAGATGTAGAACTGAAAATGAGCAGGAGCCCACAGAGGGATTTGGGTTTGTTGGCACGGCAGCTGGGGTGAAAACTGACAGTGCCACAGCAACACGTGCAGAGCAGTCACCCCTGGGCCAGGCTGACGGGGTGTCCCTGGGGAGGGAGGGTTGCTCTCCACACACTCTGAACCCTGAGCTCAGGGTTGGGGGCTGGTGTTTGCGAGTTTATTCCCAGTTCTGTCACACTGTTTTACGAGACTGGGCAAGTTTCTTTCCCTGTGGGTAAACCAAGGCAAGTAGAGCTGACACTTGGCAAGGGGGGGTTATGAGTGTTGGTACTCTAACTTGAAGGTACTGTAGATTTCAATAATAAGACCCACTGCAAATTAAAAACATTATAAATTTGTGTTCTTCCAAAGCACAAAAGAGATTTATCGTCCTCTTTGCAGGTCAGTGAGTTCCTCCAGAAGTTTGCCTCCCCTTTCTCCAAGCGGCCTACAGATGATTTTGGAGCACTCAGTGCTGGTGACCTGGTGGTTCTTCACTCATAAGAGCTCCAGGGACAGTCCTGTAGAAATCCAAGAACATCTCAGAAAAGAGCTGAGCTGCCAGGCTAGGTACATAGAGCCAAGGAAGCTGGGGAGCATCACAGGAAACCCTCAGAATATGGAAACATTTGCAGTGCTCAATCTCTTGATGTGTCCTGGGCCTTCCTCATGCTTGAAGGCTCACAAGACACTTGAACAAGAAGGGAGGTTTGCTTGTTTGTTTATCCTTGTGCTTTAAATCCTCTCTGGACTCGTGCTGTCAGCACGTCAGTGCCATGGCAGCAGGAGGAACTCCTCTGACAGCCACATAGCTGCAAGGCAGAAGCTGCTTTGCACACAGGGAAGAGCACTGTATCTCCCCAGCCCTCACTCTTTTAAGTCATGTGAGTGGTGGTTCAGATGTTTCTTACCCCTGAACCCTCCCTGTCTCCCACCTCAAGTTCCACCTTCCAGTTCCCTCCTCCTGTTCTGGAAGATCTATGCTGTCACAGGGAAAAAACTGCTGGTTTTATTAAGGGAGAGGGCATGTACCAGTGCCAGAAGGCAGCAAAGGGATGGACTCACTGTTCAGAGGGGCAGGGAAGGTGGGGAAACTGCTCCTGCAGGTGCCCATACCCTGCCCAGAAGGAGCTGTTGCTGGCGGGAAGGGAAGGAATTAATTCTCTTTGGATCTTAGACTCTGCTGAGCGTCAAACCAGCGTGGGGTTTGGGTGCCAACAGGTGGGCAAGGGTATGGCCAGCCCATTGCCCCTTTCATCAGCTGGGGCACCTCTGTGTTCCACGGAAGGAGAAGACACTTCCTCATGCTCAGCACTCCTGTTGCTGCCGTTATGCCTGGTCTGTTCTGACACTTGTGCCTCGTCTGCAGGCGCTCGGCGTGCAGCCACCGTCTGCAGCAGGGAGGGAAGGTGCAAGGGGGAACTTTGGACAAGAGCCACCATTTTCCCTTGCCGTCATGGCTTCGCTGCTATTGTCTGAGCTACCCTTGCCATCGGGAAGAATGGCTGCAGCTGCCTTTTGTTGTTGCCCTGGGATATGCTAGCTGGCATGGTGCCTGCACAGACCCGAGGGAATGTGTCCCCACAGCCCAACTAAGCTTTAGGAGCTTCTGATCACTCTTAAATACAGCAACTTGCTTTTGCGGTGTTTCTCTTCCTCCTCTGTCAGCCAGCTCTGAATACGTTCAAAATGTTGCTAGGCAAATACTCAGCCTGGGTTGCTGCTCTGACTGCACGTACGTGCTTCAACTCTGCTCCTCCCTATCCTGGGGTCTAGGGAGGACTCTGCTCTCCCTTCCAGCACCCCAGCATCACACCACTGCCCGCCTGTCCTGCTCCCCCTTCTTGTTAGCAGGGTCAGGCTGAACCGTCCAGCCAGGCTCTGGTGTGGTTGTGACAACTGGCTGAAATGTCAGAGTACCTCGTGCAGGTGCATAAAGGATGACAGTCCATGCCCTTTGCTGGTGCGCTCGATCAGCTGCAAGACAGCTAAATGTTATTGTGTTGGCACTACGGGGCTTGTGTTAGCTGCCCTGCTCAGATTAACCCGGTATTTCCTGCTGCTCGCCGAGCTGCTCTCCGGCACCTTGCGGCTTCAGCAGTTATCATCGCACTGATCTGTCAGTCCCCAGTGTGAATGTTCCTTTGCAGCCACACAGCTAAGATGCTGATTTTAGTGGGAGCTTGTTGTGGACCAGAAGATGGTGGCCAACAGCAGGAACCACTGTGGGCTGGCAGGTTGCGTGTTCCAACCCCCGCAGCCATGAGATGGCCCTGGAGCTCATGGCTTTTCCTTATTAATGAATACTTTCTATTTATCCCCTGTTCCCTAAGAATGTAGATGTGTAGAGATCATGTGCTTTTTGGGCTTTTCTTAGTTATCATGAAAGATAAAATGCTGTACTTTTAACAGGCGCCAGGATTTGACAGAAGCCATTTGCATCTGTCCAGGACCTGGGACCTTTGACATTAAGTCAGTCTTTCCTAGCAATGCCATTCAAAACACAGTATACCTAGAACATAATTTGTTTTGTGGCTCAATAGCCAGAGATCTATCTGTAAGTATTTGTGGGACTCCTTAATCTCATCTGACAGTTTGATTTCCCTGTGAGTTTGTTGGACTCTTCAAGGGCCCAGCTTTAGGGCAGGGTTCTCCAGCTTCCTCTAATATATATGGAGCTTCTCCTATACACCATCTTGTCTGGTCTGGGCTGAGAATGCGAGGTCTCGAAAGCCTGTGAAAATAGGTAATTAATTCTGGCACTTGCAGAGACGTCGTCTCTGGTCGCTTCCTGCTGTCACTGCTGTCACTCTGGCTCTTTAGGAGAAGGGCCCCTGGGGGACAGGCTGGGGCCGATGGTGTAGCATAGTGCCTTTGAACTCATCTCCTCCCGGGGATTATTTTCGGTACTCCAACGAGAAGAGCCTCCTTTCTGCCTGCCCTGAGTGAATGCGCTCCTGGGTTGGGTCAGAGGCTGCTGTCTTCTCTCCTGATTACAAGAGATGAGTCTGATGTATAGAACCAGAACTTGTAATAAGATCAGCACGATTGTTATTTCAGAACAGACTGTGATGGTTTTGGTAATATTTGTGCATTTGTGTTGTTCGCATCCTTCTGAAAACCTTAACTTGCATGACTGCTGGCTTTCCTGACTTCTGTTGTGCTGCTTGAGACCTCGCTTGCCCCTTCTTGCTTTATTTCATCGTGCTGCCTAAAGCCTGGGGCCAAATTGCAAGCAGTGTTTCCCTTTGTCTGAGCAATAAAGGGAAGCTGGGTGCCCTGAAAACGTTTGACAAAGCTGACATGTCTTCTGGTCTGTTACTAACAACTGTGCCTGGTTCAGCTGGCTTAATTAGCCTTAAATTAAGCACGTATCTTGCAGTGCCTAGATTGCATCTGCCTGTAGCAGGTGGCTGTGGGGTGTCCTGAGTCTCAGTGGCAGTGGCCAAGAGCAAGAGGACGGTGTGGTGCTGGGGCCCCCCACGGCGCAGTCGCTCTCGGGGGGGGCTCTGTGCTGAGGGGCGAGCGGAGGTGGCTGGGTGCCGGTGGGCCCCTCGCTACCCCTGCTCTGCCGGGCTGGGGAGAACCGGGCCCATCCGAAAACGTGAGCCACGAACGAGCTCAACTTTTGACTCCTGACCAGGGGCCGCGAGCCTGGGGTGGGGGGCTTGGAGGGGTTTAATTTTTCTTTCTTTTTTTTTTTTTTTTTTTTTATTTTTTTTTTTTTTTTCTTCCTGCCTTCTCCCGGGTGGGAAATACAAAGCGAGCTCGCCCTTGCCCGTGAGGCGGTGGGGGGAAGCCGCGGGTGGAGGAGAGGGGCGGCGGGGCGGGGCGGGGGGCGGGGACCCCCCCCCCCCCCCCCCCAAAGGTGAGCGCGGTGCCGCCCGCCCGGGGGTGCGGGGGGTGCGGGGGGGGGGGGGGGCAGCGGCGGAGCGAGGGGCGGCCCCTGCGCCCGCGGAGCGCCCGGCCCCGGGCGGCGAGGGGCAGGTCCCCCCCCCCCCCCCCCCGCCATGGAGAGCGGGATGCCGCTGTCGGGCGGGCAGCGGGCGCTGATCCGGGAGAGCTGGCGGCGGGTGAGCGGCAGCCCCGAGCAGCACGGCCTCGTCCTCTTCACCAGGTGAGCGGGGCGGCGGGGAGGGGGGACCCGGCCACCGGCACCCCCCCCCCTCCCCGCCGCGGGGCTGGACGGGCTCCGCTTCTGGCAGAGAAACGCTTCCCTTCGCTCGGCGATGGCTCCCGGCCGGCTGCCCGGCATTTCCCACCCTCCGCCAGCGAGAACTTTGTTATGGGGAGACGGAGGGGGAGAGGCAGCGGGCAGGTTTTGCGCGTTTCTGCCCGCCGGTCCCCCCGCCTCGGCACCGTTACTTCTGGTGTTTGAGGAGCTGCGTGTCCGCCCAACTCCGGGGAGCGTGTGGAAGGGATCGATCTCCGAATTGTCCCTGAGCCCGGCGCTCTGCAGCCCCGGGCAGAGCCCTGCCTGCCGGGGAGGGATCCAGCCCCAGGGCGGAGGAAATGGAGCGCCGGGGAGGGGGGGGGACACAGCTGAACCCCAGCTCCTTGCCTCTCCTAAGCAGATTTGACGTTTCGATTATGGGAAGAGAAAAAGGAAAAAGTGTGTGAAAAGTCGTTTAAAAAAAGGACAGTCGGAGAGATGATGACCGGCTTCCAGGGTGGCGCGTAGCAGGCAGGAGCCAAACCTCGCAGAGCAGGGCTGTGAGCAGCAACAGCGAGGTTTGGGGGGTTTAGCGGAGGGGGAGAGGGATGCAGGAGTTCCGTGTGCAGGATGGGAAGAAGAGAGATTGTCTTGCCTGAATTCCCTGTTGTCTCCACGGCCTGTTAGATCTGCCTGGGTGGCTGCAACTGAGACCCATATGTGCCTGGCATATACTGGCAGGGAGGATGGCGGGGGGGGTGGGGTGGAATGGGAGCTGGTGAAGCTGTGGGAAAGTGAGGCGTTAACTGAGTTTGTACATCACCCCCTTGCTCAAGTAGGAAAGCTGGCTGGTGGGGCTTGCAGGCCTTCCCTGGATTTGGGAGCTTCGGGGCTCAAGGGGATCGTGAGGTAGAAATGGGAACAGTTGAGACAACAAGCAAGACTTTGGGGAGAAGGGCTGGACTGGGAGGAACTCCAGCGAGCTGGGAATGGTCCTCAGGTGCCATAAACACATATCTGAGAGCTGGGGCTGTGGGCTGGGGAAATAAAGACTTTTTTGACTACAGGTAACCCGTGTTGCCCCAAACTAAGATTTTTTTGGAACTTCTGGGTCCTTCGCAGGTGCGGAGAGACCAGTAGGTGGGAAGGGAGGCAGAGCGGGGGGCTGCAGGTGTGTCGCTGATGGGGTTGTTCCTGGGATGAGGAGAACTCTAAATAAAGCTGAGGAAGTGAGAAGTTGGGGGTTTCTCTCTGGCTGTTGCAGGTTGTTTGACTTGGACCCTGACCTGCTGCCCCTCTTTCAGTACAACTGCAAGCAGTTTTCCAGCCCTCAGGAGTGCCTCTCTGCCCCCGAGTTCCTGGATCACATCAGGAAGGTGAGAAGCGGGGCTGGGGCATGGCTGGAGCACAGCGTCCTGGAGGAGGAAACCCTTAGGCAATGGCTTGGGACTGTGGGGTGTCTGACTAGGGGACACATGGCAAGTCTCCTCCTGAGATGGTAACTGCAGGGGGTTACCCATGCTAGCTAGCAGAAGGTGCTATTGCCAGGACAAAGTGCTCTACAACGGTGGGGAAGGGATGAGGAGGTGGGTTGTGGTGGGTAAGAAGCACCATGCTGATTTCCACGCTCCCATCTGAGCGTGAATTGCCTCTTGTAAATGTTGGAAACCCCCTTCTTCTACCGTGAAAGTGCCTCTGTGAGCTCACCTCTGTCCAGACAAGGACTGAAGCCCTCTGCTTGGCCCCACGCTGACCAGGAGGTGGCACGGAGCTGGGGGGGGGCCAGGCTCCTGCCGACCCACTGCTGTGGAGAGGCTGTTGGTGCGGCTGCAGAGCCAGGAGGCCCACGGCATCCCTTGGACAGCCTCCGGGAAAGTGCTGCGATACACAGTTGCCTCCCCCCAAAACAGGGAGAGGAGCGATGCTGAAGCCGTCTGGAGGAGCACGTGCATGGACAGAATTACAGCCGGTGCTGCAGAGACCCTTTGCTGAGCCCTGAAGAGCAGCCACGCTGGGGCAGAGCACAGCCTTGGCTTGCAGATGCCTTCATAAACTGTCTGGCTCCGTCTTTAAAGCAGCTTGGTGCCTCGCTTGCCTGTCTTTATTCCTCGGAAGAGGCTGTTTCAGGACTGTGCTCCCCTGATAGCTGCAAGCTTTTTGTTATTTTCCAGCCTCTGTTTATTGGCAAAGTTAAGTCCATTTTTACTTCTGCTATTATTGCCTTGAGCTGAAATAGCTCTTTGCTCTTGTTGGAGATAATTTCCCTGTTGAAATTATAGGGCACAATTCTATCACCTCTTGGCTTTGCCAAGCTAACTATGCCCTGGATTTAATCTCTTCTAATTTGGCGTGTCTGTTCCCTTTATCCCTCATTAACCCTTCTCTGTCCTGTTTCCATTTGAGTCTTTGTGCTCCTGGCAGACCACAGCGGCATGTGCTTTACCAGACCAGGTCTCTTGGCTGTGCTATCCACTATCTCCTCAAAACACCTTGGCTGATCTTAGAATAGGAGTTGCCTTATTCACAATTACACCATCTTGGCAACTTCTAGTTGGAAACTCTAGTCCTGGCACCTTCCAGGGCTCCCCTGCACTTGTCCTGGTGTCCTAAGAGCTGTAATGACTGTCAGTGTTAGATCTTAGCCTGTAACTGATCTGCTGTCGGGCTGTTTACCCTCCCTGGACCAGGGAGGTCAGCAGTGCTGCTTGCTCTGTCCCCTCTGGCAGTGTCCCATGGAAGGATGTGGTGCGTGCTGCTGCCAGCATGCCGCACTGATGTGACACACAGATTGCAGCAGAGCAAAGGAAAGCTCAGAGGGCGTCTGCTGGGCTGGGAGGTGGTCAGGCTGAGAAGGGTGAAGTAGAGGGGTCAGATTCTTTGTTCCTCTGTGAGGGCAGCAGAGCCTTGCCGTTAATGTTGTTCTGCCTCTGTGCTCCTGCAGGTGATGCTGGTGATCGATGCTGCTGTGAGTCACCTGGAGAATTTGTCCTGCCTGGAAGAGTATCTCTGCAACCTCGGCAAGAAGCACCAGGCAGTCGGTGTGAAGGTTGAGTCTTTCTCGGTGAGGTGTCCCCTCTTGTCCCTCTGCGGCTGTGTTTGTGCAGCCCTGCCTGCAGTCCTCGGCTGTCCCCATCCTTCTGCGCACGCCTGCTAGGTTCAGCCAGCTGGAGAGAAGGCTGGTGGCTCAGGGCAGCCCTTGAGTTGCTGATACTTGTGTAGCAATGTTGGCTTGATCAGGGAAACCCTTGAGCTTCATTCATTTTCTGCCCTCCCCCAGTAAGCCCAGGGAGAAAGGACAGAGGGGTGTAAGGCCTTTCCCCTGTTTGAAGAGGACCACAGTTTGGGACACTGCAGTCTCTCCTGTGACACAGGGTGGCAGGCTCAGCCTTTGCCCTGGGCCCTGGATCTCTGCATCAAATGCTCTGGGCAAACCTCACCGCACCTGGGAAAGGGAGCATCCACCTCTCTCTGTGTCTGCACTGGGATGGGGTGGCTGCACCTCAGCCCCCGTTTCCTCCATGGCAGTAAGAATGGAGCATCCTCCATATTGAACCCTTGCTTTCTCTTCTGCCATCAGGCACGGCCAGAAATGCTGGATAACACAGCCGGGGAGGGCAGGTTGAAGGAAAGGTTTCTAACCAACACATGACTCCCTCCTGATACCGCTAGCTTTGGTACTCTTCAGAGGGAGCAGGGTCCCCTTTGCTTGGGGTAGCGATCCCCACCAGCCCTGCGCTCAGGGTGTGGGTGCTCCTGGATGGGGTTGCCTGCAGCTCTGTGAGGAGCAGTGCCCTGTGGAGAGGCCTGAGAGGCAGCAAGGCAGCCCCTGAGCATTCAGACTGGGGTATGACCCACTCTCCTGACATCAGGGCATTGCTCAGCTCTTCTGATCCGCTGCTCTACCAGGGGATGGGGCTGGTTACCTGCATTTGGGAGCTGTGGAGGATGGATGTGTACCTCTCCCCTAGTGTCACAGGCGAGGTGTCAGCCCTTGCCCCCTGCCTGCACTCCCTGCTCACCCAGGGTGTGGGGTGAGGGCCAGCACAGGGCAGGGGAAGGAGATGGTGTGGGCTGGCTCTGGCTCCCCTTTGAGCGGCCAGGGATGGGGTGTCCTGGGCCCACTGGTGGTGTAGGAGCAGCAGCCCTGCAATGGGAGAAGTCCAAAAAGGCAGTGAAGCGAGAGAAGGGGCTGCGTGTCGTTCCCCAGTGCTGAACTTGACGCCTCCCTGTTTGGTTTTTCAGACTGTCGGCGAGTCCTTGCTGTACATGCTGGAGAAATGCCTTGGCAATGCCTTCAGCCCAGATGTGCGGGAGGCTTGGAGCAAACTCTATGGTGCTGTGGTGAAAGCCATGAGACGTGGCTGGGAGACCCTCCCAGAAGGGGACTAAATGCTGCCAGCCATCCCCATCCTTGACCACGCAGCGGTCCTGGGCAGAGGGAGCGCTCACACCACGCTCTCTGCCTCTCTCCACCTCTGTCTTTCTCTGTGCACCAGCCCATTGCTGTCTCCTCCAGTCACGTGTGCTTTGGGGCTCTCCCAGTGATCCTGCCTTGCTTTGACACGACCACATCTCTGCCTTTGCTAAGGGCTGGCAGGGTACGTCTCCGCAGTGAAGCCTAGGAGTGCCGCAGCACAGGTATGCCACCCTGCCCAAGTTCCTTCGGGCTAGCTGGAGCTTCAACACCCATGTACCTACTCCAGTTTTAAGCTGGCTCATCTTCCCTCCTCTTGCTACCCACCCTAGTTAGATGACAGCTAGCGCAGACCTCTCGGGCTTATTTGCCTGAAATCCTGTTTGCCTATTTACTCAAGGCCTTCCAGGTCTGGCCCTGCTCGCTCCTCCTGCGCTGCTGTGCCCAGTTCAGCTGTGGCGATGGTGGGTTTGGCTCCCTCCAGGGGCAGGGGCAGCAGGGGTGGGAGCTGGCTGTGCCGTGTGGCTGTCCTCCCCAAACCCTGCGGGGAGCTTTTCCCCCTCTCTCTTCACCAACACATCACTACCGGATGGTTAATCCTGGTGCTCTCTTCTGCCTTGCCTCTCCCTTGGATGGGAACCATGTCTTTTCCTTGTGTCAGGTTGGCCACAACTTGGTGTGTTTCCTAGGGATGCTTCAAGCAGTGGGGTCACGTTAATCTCACGGTGAGGCTGCTTTTCGCAGGTCTGGGCTGCCAGCTGAAAGGCTTTGTGTTAGTTTGGCCGGTTTGTTTAATCTTAGAGCCAGCTGAAATGCAGCAACAGTGGTGGCTCTTTACTGCTTTGTGTAGACGTCTTAAAATAAAAATGAAGGTTGCAAACATGTCATGGCAACAGCTTCCAGAAATCATTCTGGCTTCTGGCCAGAGGAAGCATAGCTGGAATTTCTCTGTCGATGCTGTCAGGACCTGGAGTGCTTTCCAGCTGCACACAGTGCCCATTTGCAGAGCTCCTCACCCTTTAGTAATCCCTCCCAGCCATACCTGAGACACAGCTGCTTCGGAGCACAGCGAGGCACTCAGTTAGGTACATGCAGCAGTGCTGTGTCAGGACAGGAGTGGGAAGACAGCATCTGCTGGAAGAAATACCAGGAAATGACTGAGAGGCAGCACCTGAGAGTTCTGGGGGGAGCTGAACTCGAGCGCTTTGAAAAAGAGTTCATCTTTATGTGGAAGTCGCTGTGGGACAGGCAGAACCATGTTTCCAGCTGTCACTAGCCCCAGGGCAAGGACATGGAGCAAGCATTCAGTTACAGACAGCACCCTTTCTTGCAGCTTCTTCAGGGCAGGGGGAGCCAGGCGTAGAGGGCTGAGATGGTCCTGTTCTAGAGACATGTTCCTCCTCTACTCAGACCTCTTCTTCTCTGGGGCAGGAGAGGGCTGCCCGCTCCTCACAGCTGTGGCTGAGGTCTCCCAGCCCCATGCCATGAAGGGGGTGATGGGGTGCCCTGTGAGATGGGGCTCTGCTTCCCTGCCACCAGGCCTGGTGGTGGCTGGGGGCTTCCAGCAAGCGAGGAGCCCTCCAGCTGTGTTTGGGAGGGGAGCTAAGGGCTGTTGTGGAACAGGCAGTGAACACCCCTGTGTAAGATGCTCGCGGTCCTCCCCGTGCTACCAGGCTCCGCTTCTGCGGTCCTGCAGCGTGGTGCTGTGCATCCTGGCCCATGGCTCTCTCCATCACCTGGGTCAGGTGAGGGCCTCATGCGTTCTCGTGCCAGGCAGTAAGGGATGGAGGCGTTGGCTATGATGGCGTGGTATGGGGCAGGAGGGTTTGGGAATGGGAATGTCCTCTTTGCAACCTTGTTCTGGGGCATCAGCCTTCAGCATTACGGGGGGACCTTCTGGCTCTGTGTGACAAGTAGGCAGCTGTGTGATGGGTGGGGTGTGGGTGTTGCTCCCCCAAACCATCCCTGCTCCCTGTAGCTTTCCCAGCTCCTTGACTTCTCTGTACCATGTTTTGTGTAAGTCCCAAGAAAACTGAACTAGTCTGTGTGCCTCATACCCAGCCGCACTGTTTAATAAAGATCAACAGTGAGTCTTGGCCCTTTTTGCTGTCTTATGTTTATGGCCCAAGCAAGGCAATAAAAAAAAAAAAAAAAAGATGGTGACAGGGATGGGTTTACTGGCTTCTTGTTGGCTCTAGCTTTGGAGATAGTGGTCCCTGGGAGTACTTGTGTAGTTCAGCTCAACTGACAGAAGAAGGCATCCAGCACCAAATGTCTGTTGGGAGCTTTTGTGCCCTATAATTGAATGGGTGAGCGGCAGTGGGGCTACCAAAGGCGTCCTGCTGCTGATTGCTCGTTACCCTTCAAATTTAATGATCTCTTAATGGAATTAGAGTTTTAAGCAATCAGCCTAAAAACCCCTTTTCTGTTGTTCAGCTGCTGCTTTTGTTCTTTGAGATAGCATTGGCGCACTCATTGCTGGTCACCCACTCACTGCTGGCTGCCTGCAGCCGCAGGGCACGGCGTGGCAGCGAAGTCTTGCCCTGTTCCGTGCAGTGTCCTCCCTGCCAGTGGGGCCGTGGCCCCAGGGAGCAGCTGCTGGGGATGCAGGAGGTCCTGTCTCCCCCTTCCCGGGGGATGCTCAAGGTTTGACATGGTGGGTTTCCATCCCTGGGAGAGTTGGGTACTTGGCCCTTGTAGCCCCCTCCCCTGCCACCAAAAAACCCCACCATTCACTCAACCCAGGACAGCCCTGAAGAAGGATGGTGCCTAGAGTGGGGAAGGCAGCTCAGGGTCTGTAATAACATCTCCCGAGGGCTGGAAATCCCAGCCCTGCCACAGGAGAGCATCCAGGGAAAGTCACGCTGCTCTGCCTTGGGCAATGTTTAGGATGTGGCTTGTTCCGCAGGGCAACGTGCAACAGACTGCAAAGGGTGAGGAGAACAGCAGAGATATGAAAGTGAAGAAATCCTCTGTGTGGTTCATCGCTAAAATAAATTTTCCAGCTCTTCCTGGCCTGGAGCACAGCAGCCAGCCTCAGGGCTGGCAGTGGGAGCCCAACCCCAGCGTGGCGGGGAAAGGCCAGCATCGCACCCACCAGCAGCACCCCTGCCTTCGCCTCCCCGCACCAGTGCTGAGGGTTGCCACAGCTCCCACAAACCGCCCCTTCGCCTTGGATGCCGCCCAGCGGGAATGCTCCCGGCACTGCCCGCCGCCGGGCGCAGTGGGAGATGCTGTGCAATTGCTTGGGCCCCAGCTGGGAGGGACTTTTGTATGCGCAGGCTGTAATCAGGTGAGTGGGTTTCTGAGGGCTGGCGTGGCGGAGGCGCAGTGTGATGGGGCTTACACAACCTCCTTCGGCTGAGATATGTTTCCCCGGCACAAGGGCCAGGAGATCCATGAGCCGGGGAGGCAATTACAGCCCTCGCTCACAGCTAGGGCTCCTGCCTCAGCTCCCTGGTGCCAGCAAGGCCCTGCATTTAGCCCTGCTCACCACTAATTATGAACTGTGGGGGGCCTCTGTGGGGATGTGTGATGAGAAGAGTGGGGTTTAAAATTTTCCCAGTTTTTCGTGCAAAAGGAAACCCAGGCTGGCCAGGCAGGGCTCATCCCAGGGGAGCAGTGGAAGGGCTGGCAGGAGGGACCTGCTGAAATCAGAGGCAAATCATTCAAGTAGGTATTTGGGTGTAAAGAGTGTGTTTTGGGAGGGAAGAGGGGAGCAGAAGAGCACTGCCTGCTCAAAACCTACAGAGAGGCTCCCAAAATGGTGTTCACCCCCTTCCCCGGGACTTGCTGGTGGGCAGTTCAGCTTTGGGAACATCTGTTCCATCCCCAGATGGGATGGGTTCCCCCCACTGCCCCACTCCTTGCAGTGGTCCCAGAGGAGCTCCAGGCCACTCTCCTGGTCCCCCCCCAGGCAGTGTGTGCCCCTCCAGTGGTGTCCTGGCAGAGGATGGGTGGGTGAGGCACATGCCTGTCCCAGGGCTGCCCCCCCCATCGCCAATGTTGGGGATGGTGCCAAGGGCTGTGACAGCCCTTCCGAGGGGACGTGGTGGGGTGGTCCCCTGATCCCCCGCCTTTGCTGCTTCTGCACACCCACTGGGGTTTGCTTTTGTGGGGCCCATGGTGGGCAGCAAGGTGCCTGGAGGTGGGGAGGTGTCTGAGAGGGCACCTCGCCCCTGAAGCCTCTACAGGACATGCCCATGAAGGGTCAAAAGCAGCCCACAGGTGGGGAAAGTGGCTGGGGTACTTTTGCAGGCTCCAGCAGCAAGGGTCCCCGCTTCTGGCGCCGGGCAGGATGTGTTGGGGTGATGACAGCAGGCAGCAGCTGGGTGAAGTCATTTTATTCAAGGCACGGTCATAGCAATAAATCACGAGAAGGTACAGACCTCTGGCACGTTCCTACAGCGGGGCAGCCAAGGGCAATCGGACCAGCAGCCCGAGCTCCCGAGGACGTGGTGCCGCTCGCAGGCACTTGCTCCCACCCAGAGAGAGGCCACCAGCATCCTTCCTTGCACTGCAGGCAGCCCTGGGGGCACCTGGGCAGGCAGCCACAAGCCCCCCCACACCCCCCAGTGCTTTTTTTTGGGTTGGGAGGGAGCAGCTGAGCTCAAGGCTCCCCTGAGGCAATCGCTCAGTGGCTAGCATGCTGCTGCCATTGTCCCAGCATGCAGAAGCATGGGGTGGGACGAGGGCCACACGGCTGCCAGCTGGCTGAGCTGAGAGCCACCAGCCCCCCAGGGACGCCCCAGGACCCACTTGAGTCCAACAGAGACCCCACAGCCTGCTGCTGGGCTGCCTCTTACCTCAGCCCCAGAACTGACACACTGTGCCTCCCCCATCCCAGTGGCATTGCCATGATCAGTGTCTGCCTTTGCACAGCATCACTCCCCATGCCGGCAGCCCCAGTGCCGGCAGAGCCGCATCACCGTCCCTTCCCTCCATGCACGGTCCCGGCACGGCGGCTAGAATTGCTCTGAAGCCAGCAGGAAAATCAGGAGCAGGAAAACCAGCCCTGAGGCCAAAGTGGGGCCAAGCGAGGAGCCAGCATGTCCAGGTGGGCTAGCCTGGTGAGAGAGGGGCTGAGCGGGGTGAGGATCTGCCCTCATCCCCAGGGGCCTCCACGGCTGCTGCGGATGAGATGGAAAACCCCAGGGATGCTGCCCAGGCAGGAGCCGGCACATTTACACTGACCACAGCAGGATTCACACTCGAGAGGTGGTGTGGCTGCTGGGGGAGCATCCCATGGCTGCGGCTCGTGGGCAGGGGCAGGATGCAGTGAGCCAGGACATAGACACTGGGGTTCCTGCCAGTTATTCCCCCCCCCCATTTCTGTTGCCACAGGATGGAGCCATGCAGGGTCCCATGGCCAGCCCCAGGGACAGCGCGAGCACGAGAGGGATGCTGCTAGAGGGAGCAGGATGATGAGGAGCTGTCCTCGCAGCCATTAAACACACTCATCACTTGCCCTCCCGCTTCTCCCCGCGGACCCAAGGGCACAGGCACGGTGCAGGAGTGGCGGAGGGATGGGGTGGGAGGGTGGGGAAGAGCTGGACTTGCATTTTGATGCCTGCTAAGGGGCAGGGCCGCTGGTGCTTGGGCAGATGCGGGAGCAGCCCTGGGCACTCACCTCTTCCACCAAAGCACGGGTGTCTCAGCAGTCCTGGCTTTAACGGGCAAAGCCTTGGGGGCGGCAGTGGGGGTGGGCAGGAGCCTCCACAGCTGGCACCAGGGGAGGCAGCGGGATGGCCGCCGCAAGCAGTGGGCAGACAGGGTGGGAAGCAAAGGTTAGGGTTGACCATCCCTGCCACTGAGGACCCGTGGGACACTCTGGCAGTGGGCACATTCATCTGAGCTGTCTGGGCTGCTTCCCCCTCACAGAGGGGCCAAGGCCTCCCTCCTGCCCCCAAAAGCATGGCCTCTCAGAGGGACCCTCTCCCCACACCGCTGCACCCCCTATTCCCCACAGTGGGCTGGAAGAGGCAGGTGGGTATGGGGGGGGGGGGGGGGACACGGGGCAGGGCTGAGCTGCTCCAGGCAGTGGTGGGGACCGGCAGAGCCTCCCACTACCTCCCATGCAATGGGGTCTCCCCCTCACATCAATCCTCTTGTCCCCCCGCTCTGTCAGCGAGGCGGCCCCCACCAGTGCTGGGAAGGCTCCTTCCTGCCCCCCGGCATGTCCTCCACTCGTGTCACGGCTGGTCCTCGCTCCGGTGGCAGGGATGCTCACTGGTAGCGGGCCTGGCTCTCCATCACAGGGCCACTCCTGTACTCGCCCTCCACTGTCTCCAGCTCCGTCTCGAAGCTCTGCAGCCCCCCGTCCTCCCCGTCCTCCGCTGGCTCCAGGTGGTTGCCCATGGTGCCGTAGGACTGGTGTGCCGGGGAGGCCGCCGGCGTCAGGCTCAGCTCAGGCTCCTGCAGGACGGTGGCCACAAAGAGCTGCCCCGGGGGGGCAGGGGGGCGTCAGGGCCCAGGGGAGTGAGGGGAGGTGGCCGCAGCAGGGCTGGGGAGGGGTACTCACGTTGGAGTTGGGGGTGGAGGAAACGCTGCTCCGCTCCACATCATTGAAGGCGCCCTCAGACTGGTCAGACATCTGGAGAGACGGAGGCAGGGAGGAAACAATGGTTTGGGGGTCACCAGCAGAAGATGGAGGGGCAGCCAGGTGCCATCTCAGACTCCCCACAGCAAACACACCCCCGAGAGGCAAGGAGGGGATGCAGCGCGGCGAGGGAACAGGATGGGTGGCTGTCTGCACTCACCTGGTAGCTGGAGGGTTTCCGTGGTTGCAGCTTCTTCAGGCAGAGGCCAAAGAAGGAGAAGACGATGCAGGAGAGGAGGACCACAAAGGTGAAGAGGGTGACAGGGCGGGTGGGACCTAGAGCACAGAGACACTGGGGCAGCACATGAGCCACCAAGGACCTGCTGCAGCCCCAGGCTGGCGCCTGCTTTGGGTCTTACAAGCTGTTAACCCCCTTTCCTAAACACTAGCTGACACCCCTCTGCCATGTGCCAGGTCTCCATCACACCTTCCCCCTTCCCATCCACCATGCCATGCCCAATTCAGGGATGACACCAGTGGCTTGTCCCCCCCCAGGCA